TCCAAGGGCCCTTCCTTTACCTCTAGAACTTGTTTCCTAAACCCATTTCTTCTAGAAACTACTTCTCCTACCTCCATAATTTACCCAATAATTGTTCTCTTACAGTTTGGATCTTGCTCTGAATTCTTTCCTAGCCAGAACCTAAGTACTGAGATTGCTAAACCCAGGTTTGGTCTGACCCGACAGATCAGACACCTGGTGCCTTCCCTGCTGTTGTGCCCAGATTTCAAGATTCCCAAAAAGCCCATCAGGGAGCCAGCAAGTCCGATGCAAAAGCAAAGAGTCCCTCATTTCGAACTAGTTTGGCTCCCCGACCACACTCACTGATGCAACGGTAGCCCAGTGGCCGAGAGAGCGAGAACTCTGTGTGGAGAGAGGTTTTATAGGGGGTTGGGGTAAGGGGAGGAGAAAGGACTGTGGGCCCTGCCGATTGGCCAGGCGCAAGTCGGTGTCTTGTTACACAGGATGTGGTCATATCTATGGCGACTTCCCTTGACTATCATTGGCCAATCCAGAGAAATCCTGGGCGTGGCCAGCAGTGGCTTGGCTTCCGGGAAGAAGCCTTGCTGAGCACATGGCCAAGGTAAGATGGAGGGCATAGCCCTTACCCTGGGGCAAGGTGGAGGGAGTAGTCCTCACCCTTTCACTGCCTACAACACATTGATAGCCAATAGTGGGGTGAAGGCCTGGGGGCAAAGGGGTGGGAGAGGAGCTCAATGGGGGAAAAGTAGGAGGCATCTGAATACTTTCAACATTAAAGATTTTTTTTAGGGGGCGAGGCGCCGGCGGCGCGGGAGTCTATTCTCCACACAGCAGCCAGAAGGACCATTTTAAGATGAGTCAGAGAACTAAGATGGCGGCATAGGTAAACACCGGGAAATTATTGCCTCACACAACAATTGAAAATTACCCCAAAGGACTGAGCAAACATCATCCAGAACAACAGGAAGGCTGGCTGAGTGTAAAGTCCACAACTAGAAGGAAAGAAAAGCACGCTGAGAGCCAGAGGCGCTGCGGAGGTGAAGTGCAGAGGTACGGCGGCGCGCGCGCGCGCGCGAGGAAAGGGGGTGGTGCCTGAGGACGCGGCTGTCTTTTTGAATCACAAACTCCCGACGGCTCTGAACTCCGGTTCCGGGAAGTCTCTGGGGACCCAGGTCTCACACGGGGAGAAGCTGGTCTGTCCGGCAGCGGGCGAACTTGAGGGCGGCTTTCCCTCAGAGGTGCTTGCAGCCGTTACCGGGACACTGAGACGCGCGACTCCGGGCGGAGAATCGGCCATGGCTGCTTTCTCCGCCCTCTGACTCCCTGAGACCCCGCCCCACCCAGGCTGCGGCAGAGGCTTTTGCATGTGAATGTACCTAACTGCAGCCGAAGCAGGCAGACCTGGAACTTCCAAGAGAAGGCCCAAGGCCCCGCAGCGGCTTGCATTGCTTCACAGCTGAGCCTCTTTGTGGCTCCTGCTGTGTGGCCTCAGGCAGAGGCTGAATTAGCACCTCCTTAGATCCAGGAGCCACTGTACCCAGTGGTCAGAGGGGGTCCATCCAGACTGCAACTCCTCAGATCCATAAGGGACGCACTCAGGGAGCAGACTCAGTGAGCACCAAAGCCCCACTGAAGCAAGTCTTGCCCCAGAAGGGTGTCTTCAGCACAGAAGTTCTCCCACTTTAGACACAGCTGATTCTCACAGCCAATTGGCCTGGAGGTCAATTCCTCCCAGTGATTCTTCAACAACCAAGGCACCAAGAGTGCACCAAGAGTGTCCACCCCAGGTAACTGGGGAGGCTGAGCTACTGGGCCCTACAGGACACCTGGCGCACAGGGCCACTCTATCAACACAGGGAAGCTGCCAAAATGCGGAGACAAAGAAACAGGTCACAAATGGCAGAAATGGAGGAAAGCAAACGATTGGATATAGAGTTTAAGGCCACGGTTATAAGGTTTTTCAAGAATTTTATGGAAACCGCCGATAAATTTAATGAATCCCTCAATAAGTATAGGGAGACCATGGAGGACATGAAAAAGGACCAACTAGAAATTAAGCATACACTGACTGAAATAAAGAATAATTTACAGAGATCCAGCAGCAGAAAAGAGGATCCCAAGAATCAAGTCAAAGATTTGAAATACAAAGAAACAAAAAATACCCAACGGAAAAAGAAAAAAGAAAAGAGATTCCAAAAATATGAAGATAGTGTAAGGAACCTCTGGGACAACTTCAAGCGTACCAACATCAGAATTATAGGGGTACCAGAAGGAGAGAGAGGGCAAGATATTGAAAACCTTTTTGAAGAAATAATGACAGAAAACTTCCCCTACCTGGTGAAAGAAATGGACTTACAAGTCCAGGAAGCGCAGAGAACCCCAAACAAAAGGAATCCAAGGAGGACCACACCAAGACACATCATAATTAAAATGCCAAGAGCAAAAGATAAAGAGAGAATCTTAAAAGCAGCAAGAGAAAGACAGTCAGTTACCTACAAGGGAGTACCCATACGACTGTCAGCTGATTTCTCAACAGAAACCATGCAGGCCAGAAGAGACTGGCAAGAAATATTCAAAGTGATGAATAGCAAGAACCTGCAACCAAGATTACTTTATCCAGCAAAGCTATCATTCAGAATAGAAGGTCAGATAAAGAGCTTCACGGATAAGAAAAAGCTAAAGGAGTTCATCACCACCAAACCAGCATTATATGAAATGCTGAAAGGTATTCTTTAAGAAGAGGAAGAAGAAAAAGGAACTCTTACCATTTGCCACAGCATGGATGGAACTGGAGAGCGGATAAATACCACAGGATCTCACTCATTTGTGGAATATAATGAACAACATAAGCTGATGAACAAGGACTGATCCAGAGACGGAGAGGCATTGATTGGACTGTCGGGACTTGGAGGGAAGGTAGGGGAGGGAGGGGGTAAGGGGGAAAGATCAACCAAAGGACTTATATGCAAGCATATAGGCCTAACCAATGGACATGGACAACGGGGGGGTGAGGGCATGAGCGGGGGTGGGGGGGGTGGGGGTAGAGGGTAACGTGGGGACAAGGACACATATGTAATATCTTAATCAATAAAAAATATATTAAAAAAAAAAGATTTTTTTTAAAAAAAGAATGAATAAGAAATGAGTTTCATGACAAAAGTTCTAACTATAAAAGAATGAAAATTAAGAAAAAATACCTGAATATGTATTTGATACATGATATAATTGACTCAAAGTATAATGGATGAAGAAAATTGTCAAGTTTATCTGACAATCTAATTATATTGAAATAATTTAATATATTCTCTCAATAAAATAGACTATTAGCATTCAACATCTTCAAAAACATTAATAAAAAAAATTCTATGAAACTACTATAGAAGTATTCATTTGACAAAAAAATGCATGTACTTTTTAAAAAATATATATATTTTATTGATTTTTTACAGAGAGGGAGAGGGATAGAGAGTTAGAAACATGGAGGAGAGAGAAACATTGATCAGCTGCTTCCTGCACACCTCCCACTGAGGATGTGCCCGCAACCAAGGCACATGCCCCTGACCGGAATCGAACCCGGGACCCCTCAGTCTGCAGGCCGATGCTCTGTCCACTGAGCCAACCCGGTTAGGGCAATGCATGTACTTTTAAGCATATACAATCAAACATAACAAACTATATTGAGGAAGTACATTCAATCCTTTGAGATTTTGCTTCTCAGCATTGACAGTTTGGCTCAAATAAACTCACAAAAATTCCCTATAGGTTTGAATGAGATAATGCTTCAGATAATGGAAGTTTTGCACCTTATTTTTAGACATTACACTCAAAACAGAAGACGTGAGTTACCTGAAAGCCATTGGTGAGATATTAGGGAGATGGGTGAAAGCAAAGTGGATGAAAAGTAAAATGGTAGATACACACACTTTTACTTAGGTGGGTACAGGATAGTTAACAGTCAGCAATTAACATGACAACATCAACGATGAGAGGAAGTATGGTCTCCACCCAAGGGCATTAGTTGTGCCCTGAGGGACCTGGAAAAGGGGAGTTACCCTGACATTCCGAAGGTCTGTTATCATAGATGCAAAAGACAACAGACAGGCTTAGTTAAGGTAAAGATGGACTTTGTCAGGGAAGATTCTAGCCGAGGACATGACTACCTGGCATAAACTATAATTTAAAAGTTTTCGTTTTAGACCATCTTTTGTGGTTACTTTCGGTCTCTGAGTGTGCAAGGGAGCGTGCAGGCAGCAGGCCTTCCCTGAGTTTGTCAGGGTAGCATATGACCCCTTTCCATCCACTCCACCTAAAGCAGGGGAGAGGCGGGAGGGGGAGGGGGCAAGGGAAGGGGAGGGTGATACAGGCAAAAACGAACTAAAATAAATTTCCTTCTAGATTAAAATATGTCCCTAATTCATGAACACATCTCATAGTAATTAGACTGAGGAGAGTCCTTTCGATCAGGCTAGGACTTCCCGCCAGAACCCAGTGCTCTGGGATTCTTAAGGACAGAATGGCTGGGGGCGAGGAAGGGATGGTTGGAAAGTGTCAAGGCTGGGACTCAGCACAGATTGCAATGGAGCCAGACTCTATTAAAGACGGCCCGGTCACATTTCATTGTCTGTGTTTCTAAACAAGGGTCAACAGTTTCCTAAGCGGACTCCAACTCTTAGGTGACCCCCTCGAGGCATAAGACCCTCTCCTTCCAGCATGGCCAGGCCTGCTGAGTCACCTTCAGGTTCTTGGAAATTCAATCCGAAATTTCCCGGGCCCAGTGTTCGCAAAGAGCTGAGCACAGCCAACCCACAGACTGGAAAAAGATCTATTCGAATGCAAACAGACCAGGCGCGGTTAGGTTTGGCTGAGTTCAGGGTAGTCTGGCTGATCCTCCCGCCTATTGTCACTCAGACGCGAGGGGGCGGGGTCTGGGGGAAGTACCCAATCAAGGATGCCGCTGGGCCGCGTGGGTAGGGTGAGGCGCCGAGGGGCGTGCCCGTGCTTTCCGGCTCCAAGGCTTGCGGGGGTTGGCGAATCCTCTCGTCCTAAACAGACCCCGGTGGCTCGGCCGCACCCCTTGTGCCATCTGCACCGGTCGTGGGGTTCGTAGGAAGGACTCAGGGAGACCCCGGACACCCCGAAATGGTGAGTGTGCGGGGGCCGGATCAGGAGACCGGCCGAGGGGCTGGTGGAACCATGGGCGGCACGGCCTCCCCTCGGTCAAGTGCGGAGTCTTCGGACAGCGTCCCCGGGGCGCGCCGCTAGGACCTGCGTCCCCTCCAGCTCGCGGCGCGGGGGCTGAGCCGGCAGCCCCACCGGGCGTGCTGTCCCGCCCCCGCGCGGGCACTTAGACCCGCTCACGGCCCAGCATCCTTCCAGGCTGTGGGGCGACCACGTGGAGGGTCGTGGGGGCCGCAGTACTCGGCCTCCCGGAATGCCGACGGGAGCGGAGCTGTGGTCCGTGAGGTCCCCGGTCCCAACTTTCACCTCGGAGCCCCTGTTTTCTCCGCCGTCTTCCAAATGTTTGCGAAGCAGAGTCTGAAACTCACGACCCTTGCCCACCCCCGACCCCCCAGCCGCCGCCTAACTCTAACTGGGACTGGCAGTAAGTCCCTAAAATTAAGATTCCGCCCCATTCCCAAACGCCACCTTCCCCTCTGCTACTCGCATCACCATCAGCTGCTTTTTCTCGCCGGTGTATTTCACCTTTATAATTTTCCCCGGAGGCATGAATGGCTCATTTTTAAAGGTGATGTCTGTTCTGTGGATATTTTACATGAGAGGAAACAGAAAATTAACCAGGTGGAACTACTTTCCATGAAATCTTTGTGCCTACCCGCCCAGGATCTTCCCTGGGCACAGACATGCTATAAGAAGTCTTTCGGGCCCTAGCCGGCTTGCTCAGTGGGTAGAGCGTCCGCCAGCGACTGAGGGGTCCCGGGTTCCATTCCGGTCAAGGGCACATGCATGGGTTGTGGGCTCCATCCCCAGTGGGGGGCGTGCAGGAGGCAGCCGATCAATGATTCTTTCTCATCATTAATGTTTCTATCTCTCTCTCCCTCTGAAAATCAATTTTAAAATTTTAAAAAAAGTCTTTTGGGTGGGGGGGGTGGGGTCCTCCTGGATTAGTTACCCTTAAAAGGTTTATTCACTTCTGTAAGCCCCCGTTTTTCAGTAAGGGTAACATGTATTTACTTAGTAGAGTTTTAAAGACAGTTTAAAATATTTCTGAAAGGTTAAAGTCGGTGGTGCGTGGTCAGGCTAAATAAATAGCCATCTCAGATGGGGTATAGAGAAAAATTGAATTTATTTAAGGGGTTGGGGGATCGGGATATACAAAAGGAAGGGGTACACAGCACGGAGCCAAAGGGTGTTGAGTCCATGATGGCAGCAAAAATATACTGGGGACAGTGAACAGGGCAGAGCGTAGAAGCAAGAGGGGAGCCTAGGTTGGGCTGCTTTGGCTCACTGAGTAGTCTGAGGGGGCACGGGGGGTCTTGGCGACGGGTTCAGATGAGCTGCTGCTGCCCTTTGTTCTCGGGGTTGCAAGATTCCAGGGGTCCGGGTAGAAGGCGAAGGAAACGTGCCTGTGGGGGAAGGGAATACCACCAGTGATGGGTGTGGTCTCTGGAGGGAGAGCATGCCCTGGGGCCTTTGTCCTGAGCTTATTTATCTTTCTTGCTGATGGAAATCTTAGGGGAGTTGTCTTGGGGAGGTCTTGATAGAAGATTCTTCAGCTTTCCAGGTGTGCTCTTTCTGGGTCAGGGTCTCCACTGGTTGGTCCGTGCCTGGGCAGGGGGGTCATTAGTCAATGTAGCTAGTCCTGAGGGACACTTGTCTGGTTTTGCTACTTTTCTGGGTCTGGAGCTGAAATGTAATTAAGACCTAGATGTTATCTTTTCATTTTTTTAAAATAAATATTTATTGAATGTCTCACATATGTCTCCCCTTCACCTCCCTCCCCCCATTGACTCCTTCTAGTCCCCACCCCTTCCCCAGGCCTTCTGCACCCTATTGTCTGTGTCCATGGGTTATGCATAATGCATACAAATTCTTTGGTTGATCTCTTCCCAATCACCCTCCCCCACCTTCCTTCTGAAATTCCACTGTTCCATGCTTTTATGTCTCAATCTATTTTGTTCATCAGTTCATCGGTTTATTTTGTTCATTGGATTCCACATATGAGTTAGATCATGTGATACTTGTCTTCCTCTGACTGGCTTATTTGGCTTAGCATAATACTCTCTAGGTCTCTCCATAACACTCTCTAGGTCTCTATCACAGCTTTTTTATCCACTCATCTACTGATGGGCACTGCACTGTTTCCAGGTCTTAGCTATTGTAAATTGTGCTGCTATGAACATAGGGGTGCATACATTCTTTCTGATTGGTGTTTCAGGGTTTCTTAAGGATATATTCCTAGAAGTGGAATCACTGGGTCAAATGGCAGTTCCATTTTTAATTTTTTTTAGGAGACTCCATACTGTTTTCCATAATGACTGCGCCAGTCTGCATTCCCACCTGCAGTGTACTAGGGTTCCCTTTTCTCCACATTCTCGCCAGCACTTGAATTTGTTGATGGTAGCCATTCTAACAGCTGTGAGGTGGTACCTCATTGTCATTTTAATTTGCATCTCTCTGATAATCAGTGACTCTGAGCATTTTTTCATATGTCTCTTGACCATTGACATGTCCTTTTTAGAGAAGTGTCTATTTAGGTCCTTTACCCATTTTTTGTTAGGTCCTTTACCCAAGATTGTTTGTCTTCCTTCTGTTAGGTTGTATGAGTTCCTTATATATTTTGGATATTAACCCCTTATCAGATGTATCATTGTCAAATATGTTCTCCCATACAGTGGGCTTCCTTTTCGTTTTGTTGACGGTTTCTTTTGCTGTACAGAAGGTTTTTATTTGGATGTAGTCCCATTTGTTTATTTTCTACTTAGTTTTATTTGCCCTAGGAGATGTATCTGCAAACATGGCTACGAGAGATATCTCAGGTTTTGCTGCCTATGGTTTCTTCTAGGATTTTTATGGTTTCCGGGCTTAAATTTAAGTCTTACCCATTTTGAGTTTATTCTTGTGTATGGTGGAAGTTGGTGGTCTAGTTTCTTAGTTTTGCATGTATCTGTCCAATTTTCCCAACACCATTTATTGAAGAGACTGTATTGACTCCATTGTATGCTCTTGCCTCCTTTGTCAAATATTAATTGAGCATAATGGCTTGAGTCAATTTCTGGGTTCTCTGTTCTATTCTATTAATCTGTATGCCTGTTCTTGTGCCAGTAGCAGGTTGTTTTCAGTACGGTGGCTTTGTAGTATATAATTTGATATCTGGTATTGTGATTCCTCCAACTTTGTTCTTCTTTCTCAAGATTGTTGGAGTATTTGTTCTAGTTCTGTGAAATATGCTGTTGGTATTTTAATAAGGATTGCACTGAATCTGTCGATTGCCTTGAGTAGTATGGACATTTTAATGATGTTGATTCTACCACTCCACTCCATGAACCCAGTGTATTCTTCCACTTGTTTATATCTTCCTCTATATTTTTTCAAGGTCCTGTAGATTTCCAAGTACAAGTCTTTTACGTCCTTGCTTAAAGTTTATTCCTAAGTATTAATTTTTTGGTTGCAGTGGTAAATGGGTGTCTGTCTGTGTGTGTGTATGTTTTATTATTTTTCTGAGAATTCATTATTAGTATATCAAAAAGCCATTGATTTGTGGTTGTTGATTTTGTATCCTGCTATTTTGCCAAATTCATTTATTGAATCTAGTAGTTTTTTGATGGAACCTTTAGGGTTTTCTATGTACAATATCATGTCATCTGTGAATAATGAGAGTTTTACTTCCTCCTTTTATTTCTTCTTGGATGCCTTATATTTCTTCTTGTCTGATTGCTGTGTCTAGGACTTCCAGTACTGTATTGAATAAGAGTGGTGAAAGGGGACATCCCTGTCTTGTTCCTGTTCTTAGGGGAAATGCTTTTAGTTTTTGCCCATTGAGTATAATGTTCGCTGTACACTTGTCATATATGGCCTTTATCATGTTGATATGTGCTGTCTCTTCCCCCTTGCTGTAAGGGTGTTGGATTTTGGTCGATTGCTTTTTCTGTGTCTATTGACCAGTTAACTGGTCCAAACAGAAACCATCCCGATTTCTTCCATATGCGCTGGAATGCAGTGGGGCCTTGACTTACGAGTGTCCCAACTAACGAGTTTTTCGAGATACGAGCCGTCTCTCTCGGCCGATTTTTTGCTTTGAGTTGTGAGCTAAAATTCGGGTTACCAGCCAGCTTCAGATACCCCACCACTAGTTGGCGCAGCGAATGTCACAGTGAACGCCACAACATCAGCCCAGCATCACGTGTCTCACTCATTCACTTTTTGATTTGACATACGAGTAATTTGAGTTATGAGCTCCGTCACGGAACGAATTAAACTCGTAAGTCAAGGCCCCACTGTACTTATGAATTTAAATTACCATAAATTTCTTTACAAACCCAGAGATGTCACTAACAAGTCTGATTTTAAAATTGGGTGACCAGAGTTGATATATGAGGTTTGCAGCTATAGACAGGTGGCGTGTGAGGAAGGTCCACTGCTTGTATCTATAGATGCTTATGGCGTACAAAGGGTTGATATGATCATGTGATTTTTGTCTTTCCATTTGTTTATCTGATGTGTCACGTTTATTGATTTGCAAATATTGTACCAGCCTTATATCCCTGGAATAAATCCCACTTGGTCATGGGGTATAATATTTTTAATATATTGCTGGATCCGATTTACTAATATTTTATTGAGGATTTTAGCATCTGTGTTCATTGGGGATATTGGCCTGTTAGTCTCTTTCTTTGTAGTGTCTTTATCTGGTTTTGGAATTAAGATAATGCTGGCCTCATAAAAAGAGCTTAGGAATGTTCTTTCCTCTTGGATTTTCTGAAATAGTTTGAGTATAGGTGTTACTTCTTTGAATGTCTGGTAAAATTCCCCTGTGAAGCCATCTGGACCCAGGCTTTAGTTTGCTGGGAATTTTTTGATTACTGCTTCTATTACATCAGTTGTTATTGGCCCATTCTGGTTTTTGGCTTCTTCCTGATTTGGTTTTGGAAGATTGTATTTTTCCAGGAATTTGTCCATTTCATCCTCATTGTCCACCCTGTTGGCATGTAGTTGTTCAGAGTATTTTCTTACAACCTTTTGTATTTCTACGGTGTCACTGGTTACTTCTCCACTTTCATTTCTGATTTTATAGATGAGTCCTCTTTGTTTCTTGATGAATCTGGCTAATGGTCCATCAATCTTATTTATCCTTTCAAAGAACCAGCTCTTGGTTTCATTGATTTTTTTTTTTAATATATATATATATATATATATATATATATATATATATATATATTTTAGTCTCTATGTCACTTATTTTTGCTCTAATCTTTATTATTTTCTTCCTTCTACTTTCTCTGGATTTTCTTGTTCTCATTCTAGTTCTTTAAGTTGTGGGGTTGAATAGTTTATTATTAATTTTTCTTGTTTTCTGAGGTAGTGCCATGAACCTTCTTCTGAGGACTGCTTTTGCTGTGTGCCAGAGATTTTGGGTTGTTGAGTGTTCACTTTCATTTGTTTCCAGGAAGTTTTTTATTTCTTTCTTGATCTCATTGGTAACCCATTCATTAATTGTTTAATAACATGCTACTTAACCTCCATGTGTTTGAGTGTTTTTACTGTAGTTGATTTCTAATTTCATTCCAGTATGATCTGAGAAGATGCTTGATATAATTTCAATTTTAGAGACTTGTTTTGTGTCCTAACACGTGATCTATTTTTGTGAATGACCCATATGCACTTTTGAAGAATGTATATTCTGCAGCTTTGGGGTGAAATGTTCTATAAATGTCAATTAAGTCCACATGACCCAGTGTGTCCTTTAGAGTCATTGTTTCCTTGTTCATTTTTTGTCTGGAAGATTATCCAGTGTAGTCAGCAGGTTGTTAAAGTCCCCTACAATGACTGTATAGTTGTTGATCTCTCCCTTAAAGTCCTCCTACTGGGGATCGAGCCTGCAACCCAGGCATATGCCCCTGACCGGAATTGAACTCGGGACCTTTCAGTCCACAGGCCAATACTCAGTCCACTGAGCCAAACCGGCTAGGGCTGCCTGAGAAGCTCTTTATTCACCATCTATTTTAAATGATAGCCTTGCTGGATATAGAAATCTTGGTTCAGAACCTTGCTTTTTTTTTTTTTTTAAATATATTTTATTGATTTTTTACAGAGAGGAAGGGCGAGGGATACAGAGTTAGAATTAGAAACATTGATGAGAGAGAAACATCGATTCTGCTGCCTCTTGCACGCCCCCTACTGGGGATGTGCCCGCAACCCAGGTACATGCCCTTGACGGGAATCGAACCTGGGACCCTTCAGTCCGCAGGCCGACTCTCTATCCGCTGAGCCAAACCGGTTAGGGCAGAACCTTGCTTTTTATTACCTTGAGTACTTCATGCCTACCTGACACTAAGAAATAACCACAGTCCCTCTCAGCAACCACAATATCTGCTTGATTTGGGGAGGCCACAATTTCCTTATTTACCAATTCACTTTAGCCTATTTATGTTGCTGGCACAGAAGGTTCTAGACTACTTAAATTACCATACAATTGGCATTCCTACTAGTGACCTTGGATCTCCTTTACTGTAGAGGCTTTAGTGATGATCTTTCATGCCTCCTGGAGTTAATTATGAAGGTCTTAAGTTATCCATTAGCTTCTGATGCAAGAACCTGCCCTCGGCCACCCACTATATGCCATTAGAACTATAATCATCATGTATTAGGACCTCTTATAATAGAGGTGCTCATAAAGACTGAGCATGTGATCCTAAACTGAGCTGGCCATTGTGCTTTAGGCTAGGAAACAGTACCACACCAGGTATGGACACCTACTGATATCTTGCTTCTATGGCTTATGCCACCTGCAGGATGGCTGCCCCTTCTATATACAGTCCATTGAAGGAGACTGTGGTATTGGGATTCACTGAGTGGACAGCACTGGGGACTTGCACACGCTTTCAGGATGAGAATACACATAAATAAATGATGGATCTTAGTGGAGAGTTGTTGTTCACTTGGTTCATTTCTGATAGCAGACCAAACCCCAAGAGTCACCACCTCTAACCAAGCATCAGGCAGTCGCCTTACTACTAGTCCACATCGGCCCCATCTGCATATGTTCACAGACTCTTGGACTTGTCTGAGAGTTGCCGCTTTGTGGTAAAAGAACTCTGGGAATGTCAGATACCCAAAATATAAAGCCAGGCAACACTTGTCTGTACATTACTAAGTCTGCACTATCAGGACTCACCAGGAAACTGCTGATCCATGTTGGAGTTCCAGACACTGATAGTAACCATGGCATTTCTCAGAATGTACAGTCCTAGGTTCTCCAACAAGGTGTTCCATGGGAATTTTACCTCCCTTACTGGTCTCAGGCTCATAGAGCATCATGCTAGGTTGTTGAAATAAGTTTAAATCAGTTGAATGATACATGGTGTGTTTCATCCAAGTCAGTCATCAGGTGAATTGTAACAAATCTGTCCTTTTTTCCCCCTAATGTGCTTTTTCAGAAAGCAGTTCTAGGTTCATGGAAAAGGTGATCAAAGTGTACAGAGAGATCTGTGATGAATATTTAACAAGTTACAAGCAATACTTCCCAACAAGAATGTTTTCGTTCTGCCAGCTGCACTGACTACTAAAGCCCTGGAGTACTTTAGGACAATATAGCCAGCTGGACTTCATTAAAAGTTCTAGTTCCACAGCTTTCGTGGACTCTCATGTGTGGTGATGGGAATGGAAGAAAAAGAGTCTAGTTCTTCATTTTGTTTTTATTGATTAAATTCTGCCTTGTACAGTGGAGAACTGTATAAGGAAGGGAATGAAAGCTTTTCTCACAAGTATTGACGGTCTTAAAATGATAGTATTTGGTGTGGCTGGTGTGGCTCAGTGGTTAAGTGTCAACCTATGAACCAGGAGGTCACAGTTCCATCCCCAGTCAAGGCACATGAGCACATGCCTGGTTTGTGGCCTTGATCCCCAATGGGCCGTGTGTGTGTTTGGGGGGGGGGGGTTTAGGTGGTAGCTGATTGATGATTCTCATCATTGATTTTTTTTTTTAATGAATTTCTTATTTTTTTTTTTTAAATATATTTTATTGATTTTTTTACAGAGAGGAAGGGAGAGAGGTAGAGAGTTAGAAACATCGATGAGAGAGAAACATTGATCAGCCGCCTCCTGCACATCTCCCACTGGGGATGTGCCCGCAACCCAGGTACAAGCCCCCGACCGGAATCGAACCTGGGACCCCTCAGTCCGCAGGCCGACGCTCTATCCACCGAGCCAAACCGGTTTCGGCATCATTGATGTTTTTATCACTCTCTCTTCCTCTCTGAAAGTAATAAAAATATATTTTAAAAAATGCAAATCACAATTATAAAAAGTAAAAATATATATGTGTGTGTGTGTGTGTTTAAAGCATTCTGTTATTTCTCAACATGCTGTGAACTCTGCCGTTGCAGAGCAGTAACATGTAATGTTATAACAGTAAGAGTGCACAAATAATTTCCATGAAGTAAGTGGACAAGGGAGTAAATTTAGGATGATCAGTCATAGAATAAATATTCGGAGACAACAGAATTATATGTAACCTTCCTATAAATGGAGTCTGGGTATCCAGGGCTGTCAGTCTCCCACATCCTAATACATATTTGGGATGTTTTAGGACTCAGTGGCCATTGAGGATGTAGTTGTAACCTTCACCCTAGAAGAGTGGGCCTTACTGGATTCTTCACAGAAGAAACTTTATAGAGATGTAATGCGACAAACTTTCAAGAACCTGGCCTCAATAGGTAAGGATGTATTTTCATTTCATCAATTATAGGTACGTGTTTCTTGGTCATTGCTTTTCCCCCCCAAGATTTGGATTGTGAAAAGATAGGACATTGGTAAATAAACTAGGCATGGTCACAGCTTAAAAAAATGGACCAATAATCTAATATTTCTCTAATATAAATATTTTGGATTTGTTTTGTTTACATTTCAGGGAAGAAATGGGATGATCGTGACATTGAAGAATTGTATAAAAACCAGGGGAGAAAACTAAGGTGAGTCCTATTTATAATAGAAAGTAGTGGTTGATTTGAAGATTTGATTATGTCATGAAATTTTTTAAAAAGGAAATAATCCCTGCTTCAATTTTTTAAAAAAAATATATTTTATTGATTTTTTACAGAGAGGAAGGGAGAGAGATAGAGAGTTAGAAACATCGATGAGAGAGAAACATTGATCAGCTGCCTCCTGCACATCCCCCACTGGGGATATGCCCGCAACCCAGGTACATGCCCTTGACCGGAATCGAACCTGGGACCTTTCAGTCCGCAGGCCGACGCTCTATCCACTGAGCCAAACCGGTTTCGGCCCTGCTTCAATTTTTACTTACAGAACATTTTCACCAAAATTACCTTTTTATTAGACATGGATGTTCAGTGTTTGTGAAGTAGCTTACTTCAAAAGAGTGTTGTTAAATTTTATATGTGATTATTGCTGTTTTAGTAATAGGGAGGGGGACCCTCTTGCAGAGCACTGTTTCATTTTTCAGTTCTTTATTGTTGAAAGTATTGCATGTGTCTCTCTCCCTTCTAACCCCATTGAGAACATTTCTTATATTGAACTTCAAACAAATCAAACAAAGCAGAAAACCTACCCCTTTCTAACTACTATTATTGGTGTTAGAGAGAGAGAAACATCAATCAGTTGCCTCCTGCACACACTCCAACCAACTGAACCACTCTGGCCAGGGCAAAAACCCTACCCCTTTGATACAAACCATAAAAATGCAGTTCAAATACCCAAATAAACAAAATTGCTAATAAATAAATCATTAATACCGTACTTCTTGTTTTTTACAGAAATCATATGGCGGAGAGACTCTGTGAAACTAAAGAGGGTAGTCAATGTGAAGACAACTCCAATCTTATTTCAGAAATGACTTTGAACAAGAAGACCACTGCAGTGAAACCACATGAATGCAGTACATGTGGAAAAGTCTTTATGCATCATTCACCCCTTGATAGGCACATCAGATGTCACACTGGACACAAACCATATGAATATGACAAATACAGAGAGAAGCCTTATACATTTAGGACATGTGGTAAAACCAGTTATCACCATTTTTTTTATAAACGTGTAGAGAAATCTTACAAATGTAAGGAATGTGGGGAACCCTTTAGGCATCCCCAGTTTGCTCACAAACATGAACAGATTCATACTGGAGAGAAATGGTATCAATGTAAACAATGTGGAAAAATCTTTAGATATTTTCAAGGCTTCCAAAAACATAAAAAAACTCACACAGGAGAGAAACCGTATGAATGTAAGCAATGTGGTAAAGCTTTCAATTGTTCCAGTTCTTACCAAAGTCATGAAAAAACTCATACTGGGGAGAAACCTTATGAATGTAAGGAATGTGGGAAAGCCTTCAGTTATCACTCTTCCTTTCTGTTACATGAGAGAATTCATACTGGAGAGAAACACTATACATGCAAGGAATGTGGTAGAGGCTTTCGTCGTTACGGAACCTTAAAACGGCACATGAGACTGCACACTAGGAAGGAACTGTATGAATGTAAACAATGTGGTAAAGCCTTCAGATATTTTGTTTGGTTTGAGAAACATGAAAGAAGTCATACTTGAAACATTAAATGTAAGGAATGTGAAAAGGCCGCCTCATATTACCAAACCTTAAAAGTACACACTAAACTGCACAGCAGAGAAATCATATGAATATGAGCAATGTGGTAAAGCCTTTAGCTAATCCTCTTCCTTTAAAAGTCATTGAAGAAATCATGAGAAAAAATCCTATGAATGTAAGTAGTTTGGTAAAGCCTACAGACCTTACAGCTTCTTAGAAACACAAGAGAATTCATAAGGAAAGCTTAATGGAAATTCATGTGTAGTACAGTGTTCCAGACAACAGCACAAGTCATTAATAAATGTGTAGCCCTAGCCAAGTTGGCTCAGTGGATAGAGGGTCAGCCTGAACACTGAAGAGACCTGGGTTCGATTCTGGTCAGAGTCAATACCTCAGTTGCAATTTCCCCTGCGCTGGTCAGATGCATGCAGAAGGCAACCAATTGCTGTTTCTCCCTATCTGCTCCACTATCATGTTGAAGCCTATTGGGATTGATGGGTGAGTTAAAGACATTTCTTTTTTTTTTTTTTTAACATATATTTTTATTGATTTCAGAGAGGAAAGGAGAGAGAGAGAAACATCAATGATGATAATCATTAATTGGCTAGGATCAAGCCCAAAACCCGGGCATGGGGCCTGACCAGAAATTGAACCATGACCTGATTTATAGGTCTACACTCAACCACCCAGCCACACTGGTTGGGCAAAGTTTACTTCTAATATGCAATTTGGATTAATTTGTTAAAATATTTTATTTAGCTTGTGCTAAGAGGCCATTGAAATTTGACTGTGGTATTTATTGGGATTTTTCTACTGGTAAATCCCTAGTTCATTATATGTACTCTACCTTAGTGACTACCAAAAGTTCCCCTTTTGGGTGACAAGTATAAGAACTTTATACACATAAACAGTTGGGATAGTTGAATAAAGCAAGTTTATGCAATAATATAGTTTTATGTGGATTCTCTTAATATTTGGAGTTTTACTTTTTGTTCTTTTTTCTATTTGCTTAATAGACTTTGATGTGAGAAGAAATACCTGTAATAAGGACAAAAATCTAGAGCTGGGATGTTCCCCTGTGGATAATGTTTTATATCATTTTCTGGATTTTCCACTTACAATCAAGAGTATCCTCAGAACTTCCACCAACTCTTTCATATTCATTTTTTTTTTAAAGAGAAGTAGATTTTCACTGAAATTTTCAGAAGACCCACATCAATAATTCATTAGGGTTAGCATTTTTCTGTAAGCCAGGAAACTGATTCAGACTTTGATATCGAAATAATGTCTAATTCCCCTCTTTAGATTATATAAGATCTCATTTGTACAGGAGACACCTTATACTGTCAACAGAGCTAATTAGTGTGTTCCCAATTCACTTTGTGACATCTACAACTGTGTAGTCACGAAGAAGGATATGGGAGTTAGTTTCTCCACTGCATTGTACATTGGCTGCTTTGACCTGGTCCTTTCATATGTGAAATGTGAGCATAAGCACATTTTTCCTACTGGAAGACTGGGGGTTTCCTCTTACTTGTAGCTGAATGTATTCTTTCAAAGTTCTTAATTACTTTTCATGATATGTGAATAAAAGTATGTGTCTCTTTATCAGGCAGTTTTGTAATTGTGTAAACAGAGTGGGCTTACACAAACCTAGATGGCGTAGCCTACTGCATACCTACACTATATGGTATAGTCTTTTCTTAGACTACACATCTATGTAGCATGTTACTGTGCTGAGTACTGAAAGGAATTGTAGCACAGTGGAACCTGTATATTTTAACATCTGAACATGGTAAAGGCTCAGTAAAAATATGGTATAAAAGATAAAAAATGGTATACCTTTAAAGGTCACTTAATCGTGAATGGAGCTTACAGGACTGGAAGGTGCTGTAGGTGAGAGGTGAGTGAATGAAGATCTAAAGGGCAGTACTATAGACTATATAAACACTGTGCACTTAGGCTAAACTAAATTTATTAAATGTATATTTTTTAAATATTTTTATTCATTTCTGGGAGGGAGAGAGATAGAAGCTTCAATGATGAGAGAGAATCATTAATTGGCTGCCTTCTACCCATTGGGGATTGAACCCGCATCCTGAGCATGTGCCCTGACCAGGGAATCAAACCTTGGCCTGGTTCAAAGGTCAAAACAACTACTGAGCCATGCTGGTTTGGCAAAAAGTATTTGTAGTAAGTTAAACTTAGATTACTGTAACTTTTTTACTTTATAACTTTTTTTTTTGTTAACTCTTGACTCTTGTAATAACTTAGCTTACCTGAAACGCATTGTGTGCATATATGAACACAGGCAATAGGGTGCTGAAGGCCTGGGGGTGGGGATGGACTGGAGGGCATTGATGAGAGAGAAAAGGGGACATATGTAGTACTTTCAACAATAAAGGATCATTTTTTTAAAAAGACTGACATTGCTTCCCTATGGATGAAAGTCCTTTTAGGCATCCATTTCAATAATTGGGAAGTTTTGTATATATTGAATATTTGCTCTAAAGTAATTCCCTTCCACATTATCCAGAGATTCCAACTATTTCTGCAGGCTTTGCATCAGCACTCAGACTCACTACGTACTTTCATGTATTGTAATGAATAGCAGAGCTAGCAGTACGTTTAAAATTGCAAATAAGTGGTGCTCTGGACATGATTGTTATGATACTGACAAAGTAATGCTTCTGTGTTGTAGGGAGTGGCTCTGAGTTAAGCCTGGGATTGACCTGTGGCAGGGCCACAAAGAAATCCTAGCTTAGAGGGCAGAGCCCTCTTAGCATAATTAAGCTTGACTTTGGCCATGCCCTAGATCAAGGGTGGGCAAACTTTGACAAGAGGGCCACAATGGGTTCTTAAACTGGACCGGAGGGCCGGAACAAAAGCATGGATGGAGTGTTTGTGTGAACTAATATAAATTCAAAGTAAACATCATTACATAAAAGGGTACGGTCTTTTTTTTTTTTTTTTTTTTTTTTTAGTTTTATTCATTTCAAGCAGGCCGTAGTTTGCCCACAGCTGCCCTAGATCTTTCCTAGGTAGCTAATGGCCTGTGGGAGGTGCAGCAAGTGCTGCCAAAACAAGTGAAACTCACAAGAACACTAACTATGGTGACCACTACCTTGTTTACCTCTGACTAAAATAAAGCCTCAGCTTGCTGGCTGGATCCTTCTTTGTGGCCTCATCCAGGCACAGGAGATCCACTGAGCCCCAGGTATATTCTCTTTGTCTTGTCTTTTCTTTTCTTTTTTTTAAATATATTTTATTGATTTTTTACAGAGAGGAAGGGAGAGAGATAGAGAGTTAGAAACATCGATGAGAGAGAAACATCCATCAGCTGCCTCCTGCACACCTCCTACTGGGGATGTGCCCACAACCAAGGTACATGCCCTTGACCGGAATCGAACCCGGGACCCTTCAGTCCGCAGGCCGACGCTCTATCCACTGAGCCAAACCGATTCCGGCTCTTTGTCTTTTCTTTAATCCTTCCAAACCCCCCCCCCTCCCCCGAACACTTGGCTGTGCTGGCACCGCACACTGTGTGTGGTCTTCAGGACATTAGAAATTTCTACATGTCTTATATAGGCCCTTCTCAAAATTGTTACTTGCTGTCTTCAATAAAAAGACATAACTTGAAGGCATCACACTTTGTAATCTAAAATCTTAGTATAAAGCTATAGTAATTAAAACTATGGTCTGGTGTACAGACGAATGGAACAGAATCTAGAACCCAGAAGCAAACCCTTACATACATGGTCGTGATTTTCAAGAATAGGAAAATGACAAACTAGGTAAGGTAGGAGGTTTCCCCTGCATATAGAGGCCAGGGCACAGTCCTGGAAAGGGCACCATTCCCCAAGGCAATGAGCCCTGGGGGGGAAACCCTATGAATGTAAGCATTGTGATAAAGCTTTCTCCAATTTACCTTCACATCATGAAAGAACTCATAATGGGGGGAAACCCTATGAATGAAAGCAAAGTGAGAAAACCTATAGTCATCCCAGATCCCTTCAACATCACAAAAGCTCTCATAGTGAAAAGAAGCCATAGCAATGTAAGGCATGTGGTAAAGCCTTCAGGTTCCCAACTAGTTCTTACAGACATGTGAAAACACACTCTAGAGATAAACACCATTAATGTAAAGAATATGGAACAGCCTTCATTTATCTCAGATGTGCCAGTCATGTATGGTAATCCAGATTAGGGATGGACCCTAGAAATGTAAGAGGGTTAGAAAGCATTAATTCCTTCCAGTTTATTGTAAAGGATGAAAGGACTCACTGAAGAGAAGCCTTGTCATGTAAAGATTATACAAGAGCCTTTGGCCATCCTAGTTCTTTACAAAATCAGGAAGGGACTCACACCCAAGAGTAAGTTTATGAACATGAGTGTGGGAGAGCCTTTCTTGGACATGTAAGGACGTACACGGAGAGAGAGCATATAAATACAGGGAATATGCAAAAGCCTTCAGCTGTCCCTTTTCCTTGGAAAGGCCATGAAAAAAACTCAAAAGTAGAGAAATGTATTGAATGTAAACAATGTAGTTGCCTCATATCCCTACAATAATGCCATGTGAATGTACACTGGATAGATACTGTATAATTGTCTATTAAAACAAGCTTTTGAATTTTAACAAATACTTGCAGAGTAGCTGGGAAACTGCACTGGAAGGAAAGAAATCCTATTAGTGTAACTAACTGGTACATGTAAGCCTGTAGCAAAGTAAGTCATATACTCCCCAAAACTCACAGCATTAAAGTGCTGTGAACTTTAGACATATTTGGTCATTATCAGTACTCATACATTTTTAAAAAAAAAACAACAGTTTTTTTAGAATGAGGAAGGGAAAGAGAGAGTAGTAGAGAGAAACATCAATGTGAGATAGAAACATTGCTTTCCCATGCGATCCGACCAGGGAGCGAACCTGCAACCCAGTAATGTACCCTAACAGGTATTGAATGAATAGGCCCTACACACATATATTCTTTTTTAATTGTACAATTGCACTTGAAATTCACTATTCTTTTAGTCAATAAGTATTTGTCATATATTTGTACATACTTACTGTTCACTGTAGAGTACCCCTGTGTATTATTTTCATGTATTTTTGTGTGTGTTGCTTTTGGCTGGGAACTGTGCTATGGAGTTCACATTAAGAAGAGAATATTTAGCCCTAACCGGTTTGGCTCAGCGGATAGAGTGTCGGCCTGCAGACTCAAAGGTCCCAGGTTCAATTCCGGTCAAGGGCATGTATCTTGGTTGCGGGCACATCCCCAGTGGGGAGTGTGCAGGAGGCAGCTGATCGAGGATTCTAACTCTCTATCCCTCTCCCTTCCTCTCTATAAAAAAATCAATAAAATATATTTAAAAAAAATTTTTTTTTAAAAAAAAGAATATTTTAGTTTGTTTTTCTCAATCTTTGCCCTCCCAGTCCAAGAATATCCTCAAAACCGCCAGGACTGCTTCACTTCCCTTGATGTCGGGTGTAAGCTTTACAGTTGTTCAGAATTCACCATTAAAGATCCAGCATAGGTTGGCTTTTCCTGCAAGCCCATAGGTGTCCACCAGGCAACAAACGTAGACTGTCATGGTTGAGGCTGTTTTCTGAATGGTACACACTGTTCCCTAGATTGCATTTGCATGAGGTCTAATTTGACTAGTAATCATCTTGTCCTGTTGGTACTACTGACTATGATTCAGATGCCACTGTGACAGCTGCAATGGTGCAGTGCCAAGGAGCCATGTGCCAGTTTGCTCTTGTACCACCCTCTGCAGTGAGGGCTCTGAGCCAGTCCTTCCATGTGAGAATCGGCATTTTCCTCATTGCAGGCAGACTCTGATGTGTGCTGTCACTCAGAGCTGAGCCTAATCTCAATATTTTCAGTTATCTTTGTTTGTATGTGATTAAAATTATGTGCATTTTTCTCTCTAGTCAATGCTTCTGTACTTTTTAAAGAAATATTAACTGTTTCCCAACCACTCTTATGCTAACAACTATTATGGTGTTTCATTATTTCCCAAGGATGTAATTATCTCATTGTAATTATGTAATTTCAGATCGACTTGTAATCTTTTCCATTTAATCATACATTCTAAGTCAAAATTATCATGTGTATACAAATTCAGACTTTTTTTTCCATGAAAATTTTATTTTTATTATTTTTATAATACTTGGCACAGACTCATTTCTAATTCGTTCAAAGTATTAAAAACTTCAGTCATGTATTTTTTAGTCTCCTCCAGCTAAGGACCAAGAAAATCACATCTGTAGTAAAACAGAAATGAGATGGAATGACTTCAAATAATAAGAATGATCAGAAACCATAAATGCCTGGGATGTAACAGCAACAGCAGCCTTAAAAGGATTTTTTATTGCATTATGCCTGGTGATAGACTGCTAGGGTGTTTCTCAGCATCTAGAAGCGTTCAGGAATCTGGAGAAGGGCTGCGAGTAAATTAATAAAGAGACTAGAGATGAATATAAACTAGGAAGGCATTTTAGGGAACCAGAGGAGACCTAGCTTCAGTAACCAAGTTCTCTGAATCTCTGGACCCCTAGCTTTTTATTAACACAAATTGCCCTAAAGCAAAGC